TGCTACCTGTCGTTAGTGTGACTGGGAATGATTTTTTCTGGGCTGAGGTGATTGTTTAGCATTGTTCCTTCCAGCCAACGTTGATTTTAAAGAGAGCCCCACCTCTCTGCTGAGCCATCTTTTCTCTCTCTTTTTGGGGTTCATGGCAGTTGTTTATTCCCTGTTGATCTGTTCAGTTGATTCCTAAGTATGCACTAAAGAAAGCAGTATGCACAAGTCCGTAATTTCAGGCAAATGTAAGTAAAAAAATGTTTTTATTCTTTCCTCCTACAAATGTCTCAGAGTGAGTTACTAAGACTTTAAGTGCCAATTACAGTGGTGCCTCGCTAGACAGTTACCCCGCATGACAGTTTTTTCGCAAGACATTGACTTTTTGCGATCGCTATAGCGATTCGCAAAACAGTGATTCCCATGGGCAATTTCGCTGGACAATGTTTGGTCCCTGCTTCACAAACCAATTTTCGCTAGATGACGATCTGCTTTTTGCTAGACTATGATTTCGCTAGACAGCGATTTCAGTGGAACAGATTATCATCGTCTAGTGAGGCACCACTGTAATGAGAAAGGGAAAGGCTCAGGGGAAATTGTAGCTATTCTTCTCTGTGAATCTCTGTACTTCTACTGTGTAGCAAAAAGGAATTTTACCAGAAATTGAAAATTCTGTAACAGGGTGCTCCCATGATGAAGCACCCCTTCCCTCTGCCTCTCTCATGTACATGATCCAAAGTGAAATGCCAACCTCATTCATATGCATATAACAGCAATGCAGCACAGTGAAGGGCAGGTCAGAACTTTTTTTTCACCATTGTTGGTTTTGTGTCTAGGGTGAAATGTCAATAGGTAAATGCCAAGCGTGCTTGGTGGCTGTCAGGACTGGTAGGGCAGGGTGGCCAAATGGAAGAGAAAGGCTAAATTAACAATATGTGGAGCCAAAGTCACCAGTAGGTGGGACCTTTTTGTTCTGGGCTTTACCTCTTTATCCTCACTTGCAATGACCTCGCAATGCGCCATTTTAATGTTTAATATCTAACAACTGCAGCTCAATCTCTTTGGTTGCATCAGGAGGTTGCCAGACCATCACGTTTGGTTCTCTGCTGGACAGAAAAACAGGGCCTTCCAGCCACTTCTGTCTTCCAATTACATGACACTATAAAAACATCAGGTGTAAGGGTTGTATGTGGACATAAGATGAAAAACTAAATTGCTGCAGGTCCCATCTAATGGATCAAGAAAGATGTGCCTAGTGTCATGCCTTTTCAGCAGTTGTGTCGATGGCCTGTTCTCTCTCAGTGATGTTCCATGTAAATTGATTACTTCTGCTGGGCCAGTCTCTGAAGCGGACATGTAATAAATGTGTGGCATAGCAGACCAATGAACCTGTGCCTGAGGAAAGAACGAGGCCCAAACCAAAAACACCTTAGGAATTCATTTCTCAGGACTCAGATGAGAGGCCTGAAGTGGGCATGAGTCCTGGGAGAAGGCCTTCCGTAAGCTCATTAGCATGAATGAAAAATAGGAAGTACAGTTAGAAGAGAATGCTTAAGAAAAGCTATTTATGTAGAATTTATTTCCCCACATTTACGAGGTGCCCTATCTTGTGAGATTTACTGAAGACAGACAGATGCAGTAGCCCAGCACACTGGACAAGTAGCTTTCTCCTTCCTTCACCTTATTTTGCTCATTGTAATGATATCTTCCTCAAATTGTGTTTTGTATCAGTTTGTTAATATTTTAAACAAACCTGATTATAAAGAAAAAAAAAGTGTAGCACTTTTGGCCCGGAAACACACCCTTACTCTCTTGTTAGGAATGTCCTTAGACATCTTCCTGGAAAGCTGACTGTTCCGCTGAGCAAGAGCAGACTTAGTCTTATAAGCCCAGACAAGGTCTCGCAAAACAGATGACAAGTCTTTCTCCCTTTTACACCAATGACACCAGGGAGAAGATTCTGCTCAGTGAGGAAACATATTCCATTATCTGAGTAAGTGTGATTTAAAGGCACAAAAAACTATAAAATCCTCACATTTTAAATGTTAAAAGTAGAGAATGTCAGGATATTTCATTTTTTATGCTAGCAGAGTTCAAGTGGTTAATACTCAGCTTATGGTTATTCGGCAGGAGTAACGACTCTGAAATGCATAATTAGGCAAAAATAGAGAACACATCAGAGATAGATAATGCAGGAGACTGAGCCATAAACAGGACTGGAGAACCCTCTCAAGCTTCTTCAGATGTAGAGATCTGCTACCCTATTAAAGAGAAGCCTGAGTCCACCTCTTTTGTACTGGGAAGGAAAAGGAAATGAGCTTAAGTCTTGCAGTCTAAATATAGATCTAGAAATGACCACTGGGGAAACCACCTCATCTTTCTAATGTATTGCCCTAATTCAAATCACTTGCTACCTGAATTGATGCTCCATTTCCAATAAGGTAAAGGTAAAGGTTCCCCTTGACAATTTTTGTCCAGTCGTGTTCAGCTCTAGGGGGCGGTGCTCATCCCCGTTTCCAAGCCATAGAGCCAGCGTTTTTGTCCAAAGACAATCTTCCGTGGTCACATGGCCAGTGCGACTTAGCCACGGAACGCTGGTACCTTCCCACCGAGGTGGTCCCTATTTATCTACTTGTATTTGCATGCTTTTGAACCGCTAGGTTAGCGGGAGCTGGGACAAACGACGGGCGCTCACTGCGCCGCGTGGATTCGATCTTATGACTGCTTGGTCTTCTGACCCTGCAGCACAGGCTTCTGCGGTTTAGCCCGCAGCACCACCACGTCCCTGGTTCCATTTCCAATAGGGAAGTGTAAAAAAATGAAGGCTTGTGTTTACTTTTAAGTAGGCATACATAAAATTGAACGAAGCAAAGCTTTTCATGCCTGAAAGCTGATACACAATGCTTTGTATGCTTGGTGGGAAAATGTGACCTAGTAAAGTAGGTGGGTGCGAATATATGAATCTGTCCCTGTATCTCAGGTGTGCCTGCTATAAGCAATCCCACAGCCTAGAAACCATTGAGCCCCCCCCAAACACTTAGAGCTTTCCCCATACTTGACTATCAGTCTACCTGCTTGCTGAACCCATCCACTGTGAAGAATAGTCAAGTTCATCACGATGGAAATCACTTAAGGCATGATAATATCAAGAGCAGTCAATGGTGGATTCCTTGTTGACAAACTATGAGCCTCAGCAGATGGTTGATGTTGCTAGCTTCTCCATTCATAACTGGATGGGGGAATGGCCCATCCCAGGAAGAAATCCACAACTAAATTGTTTTTCAAAAGATTTGCCAGATTCCCTATTTAAAAAACCTTAAAAACATATCTGGGGATGCTCTATATTATTAGGACTTCTGTGAAGAACTGGAAACTGGTACTGTATATGGTAGCAGTACCCATCCTTCATTTTAAATAGGACTTCTGTGAAGAACTGGAAACTGGTATATGGTAGCAGTACTCATCCCTCATTTTAAATAATAACCTTCATGTGGCCCATAAACGCCTTGAAGAAATCTGTACTCTATTTTCTCTGAATATTTCTGCTTCATTGGCACTTTTCCGTAGTCTCAGAACAAGAGATGATCCATTCAAAATAAAGGATCTTGATTAGAGATGGGCACGATTCATTTTGATTTGTGATTTGTCAAGGTCGACTAGTCAAGAATACTGTAATGGATTTATGATTTTTTTTCCTGACAAATCGATGAATCAATTTGTCAATTTGCTTGTGCCTTTAAAACCCTGTAAAACACCCCCAAACACCTAGAGACACCAAAATTACAGAGAAGCTTTCTCTGACTCTCCTCTACAATCCATCCAAGTCTGATGAAGATTGGGTTTCAGATATCCAAGTTATACACCCACAAAATGGATCCCCTCAGGAAAGTGCCCTTTAGCAGCTGGCTTGGGAAAACCCAATCATCATCAAACTTGGAGAGATTGTAGAGGAGAGTCAGGGGAAGCTTCTGTGTAATTTTGGTGCCTCTAGGTGTCTGGGGGAACTTTCCTGGGGAAGCCCTCTTTGTGGGTGTAAAACTCAGAAACCCAGCTTCTACAAACAGCTTCTCTGAAATTTTGGTGTCCCTAAGTTCCAGGGGGAGGGAGAGAGGGGGATGTTTTATAGCTGAACAAATCAATAAATCAAAATAGCTAAAAACTCATTAATTTATTTTGTCAAGGCTCTTGATTCATATGAATACGAATCGATGAATTAGCAATTTTTGATGAATTTTGCATTTCATTTTTACATTCATGTCCATCTGTAATCTTGATACGTTCTGTCTCTCAGATGGTAAATAAGAAACATTGGTTCTGAGTGTCAAGCTTGGTGGGCAATGCTGCTACTTCCTGTTGATTCAGAGGTTGTTTACGGAAGCTTTTGTGCCAAAGGGCTGTATGTATAAACCACTCGTCCCAGCACCTGTGCTTTCACTGCAAACCATTCATTCTAACACCCGTGCCATCCCTTAACTATAGGGAGACTTTCACTAGTTATCTGATGAATTGCATGGCCAACATAATGGTACAGAACAGGGATGTGCGGGACGTTGTCCAACTCCCATTGTGTAAACATCACTTCAGTGTGTCAGCAAGGAGATGAATCCCAGAGTGTGTTCAAGTTGGCCTCAGAGGAACTGATGTTTGTACTATGTAGGCTGTGTGATTGTAAGTGCAATTATATGGAAACAATTTCCATCAATTTTGATTGGGCTTGAGTGCAGCTTTCTCTGGATTGTATCCCATGTATCTAATGGGGGTGGCCATTTCAGGTTCCTTTTATTTGACGACATAGTGTTTTAGGAAAGAACTGTACAAGCCATTAGAGTCAGGAAGACGAAGGCAAGCCAACTGAAGTTTTGAAAACTAAAAGCTGCTGTGCACAGGAAACTCATACTGCAGAAGATTTTGCCAAAGAAGAAGAAGAAGAAGAAGAAGAAGAAGAAGAAGAAGAAGAAGAAGAAGAAGAAGAAGAAGAAGAAGAAGAAGAAGAAGAAGAAGAAGAAGAAGAAGAAGAAGCAAGGAACATTTTATTAGGAGATAATTTTAAATATGTTTAAATCAAATTGATTCAAGGAACTGGCCAATGGGTACACAAATTGACAGACACAGCCAATGTTCTTGAAAGGAAATTAATTCTACCAAGGCAGATTTATGCCTTCAAAGAAATTGACAGATCATTATCCAGGCTTCTTGAAGAATATCGATGTTCATTCTGTAACTTACCATCAGTCAACAGATCCTAAAGCCTTATATATTTAGGAATACCACAGTAAACCAAGCTGCACACAACCAATGTATACACATATCGATCCCTCAAACATTTGTGTCCTGGATTTTGTGTAACCCTGCTCCACATACATATATTTCTATCAGGCCCTCTCTTCTGCGGCTTCACCCAGCACAACTGGAGATGCATCAGGTCTTCTGTTTTCTCTTTCATTCTTACCTCACATAAGCTCACCTTCTGCCTCAAGGGGTAGACACCCAGTCCTACCTCTTCTCCTTCCCTTCTGTCCTGGAAAATTAGTTGGCCTCTTTCTCTTAAATCAGATACTCCCCTTTCTGCCTTCTTTCTTCTACTTCTTATCCTTCTTCCGGTATTGCTAAAATAAAAGATGCGGGACTTCAAATCCCATCATTCCTACCATGCACAACCATGTCTTCATACCCGAAACAATGTCTTCCACATTGGGATGTATTTCATTTGCCTGAATAGCCCTTTAAACAATGTTCTTCTAAGACAATTTATGAGCAAGTAAATGAATTGTTTTGATATTTGTGATTATCTTCTTTGGTTTATGTTTAAAAATAAAAATTCTAAATTGTCTTTTACATTTCCAACAAAACGTACTGAGGAAAATACTTGTGAATCTTTTCTTACATGTTAGACAAAGCCAGCATCATGAGCAGGTTGTTGTAACAGCACTAGGTGTGATATATAAAGAATGAAAACATAGAGTCTCTGAAATCCACAAAGGAGCATTTCTTGGAATAAAAACACCAAAACAAGTTCTAGAACTGGAGGCATAGATTAGCACTTCCTCATGATTCTAGGCATAGCATATAGATGCTTTTGTTGTCTTTCCTTTTATCTCCCACATGGAGAAAAACAAAAGTTTAAAATCTAGGAACTGATACGGATAGTGGCAAATGAGGTAAATATTCATGCTTGGGTGTCTTTCTTCTCAAGAATATAGACTCCTGGCACAGCTATTCTGGAGAGAGAGAGAAATACCTGAGGAAAACCCATTACATAGATCTACATGTAAATGTCTTGTTGGTACCTTCTCATCTACCAAGTTTGGAAGGAAGGAATGCAATAAAATGCATAGCGTTGCTTTGTAATGAGCTTATCTTGGTAGTAATAACCTCCAAATGTCATATCCTCCCTAATCAATGCAACCTGGGGCTGGACATTCCTCTTTCCCTACAAGGAAAACAAAGCATCTGCATTATTTGCTGTGTGGGTTCCTCTTCCAAAAGCAGAACAAAAGAAAAGAAACCTGACAACTGTTCACATTGCTTTGTTTTAAATAGCAATCCCAATCATGGTGGGTGACATGTATGGTTTCACCAAAAGGATGATAATGGTGCAAAAAAAAATCTCTCAGAAGAGCTAATCATATAATTCCTAGGAATGCTCTCTGTAGGTAAACGGCATTAATATTGCATAGTGTAAGAGGTGATGTTGGAGAACACAGCACCAGACCAATAACAATCTGGATGACAGGCTGAACAATGAAGCTGAGACCAATGAACAATAATGAGTTCTCTTTCTGGAGTCATGTGTGAAGCTCTGCCTCCCTATTCGCTTAATTAATCACTTGCTCTTTTTGTGGTTTTTTTGTGTTTTTTTGCTCTTTTTGTGTTTGTGTGTATTTCAGAACTTTTCCTTCAGTCCTTCTCTCTCCCTCCCTTTCCACTGTGGGATTTCTGAGGCTTCTCAGAGTTCTTTTTCTCCTCTGTTCAGCTCTGAGTAACTCATATTAGTTTCCAGTCTGTAAACTCAAGTAATGATTATTCCATTACAGGCCTGTTGGAAGCATAATGGTGGACGGCGGGGAGGAATACAAAACAAATTTGTTACGTTGGAAGCAAATAGCAAATGCTGGAAAATGTGCTTATAAATATATACATGAAACCTCTTATATGTAATGTGTGAAGCCCAACAGTCTGTCCAGTTTATATATTCACTACAAGAGTTTAGCTTCTTGTTTAACAGCATCACAAAAGCAACTGTTGTCCTTTACAGTTCAACTAGACTTGGTTTCTAGTGGCGTTGAATACAGGGCGTTCCAGGCAGACTGTAAGCAGCAGGCCCTTACGGGCCGAACAATTCATACTTTGGATTCCTAATTTGACAATCAGCCTAAGGAGAACCAGAGAGGAAGCCAGAGCCTTCAGTCTTCAGGGAATATTTTCACAGATAAAATGAATAATATTGGAAGGAATAATGCTCTGAAACTGTTTTCATTCTTTTGTTCCCCCTCTGGATCCTTAATTCCAGTGGCTTCCACACAAAGCATGATGCAAGATACCCCACTGTTTCTCAAGCCAATGCCTCTATTTTTTGCTTCTGTCACGAGTCTAAATTTCACTTTCTTCAAAGACCTCTTCCACTGTCTCGCCAGTGGTGAATTCTCCTTCACTGTCTGAGAGACTTACTCTTGGATTGCACCTTAAGCTCGATCTGAGCTCCACATCATAGCTTGTTCTCTGACTGGCCATGGGCACGTTCTGAGGTGGCGTCACTTCCAGGGAGGCACAATTATTGTTCAAAGGTGATTTCTTTGGACATTTCCCCAGGTACTTGATGTTCTTTCTAAGAAAGCAGGGCATGCTGATGAAGGGCTTAGCCAGCAAGAAACGGGACCAATGCTTGTGCAGTTCAGCTCTTACCTGGGGAGAGGAGAGAAAAGGAAAGGAGCTGTGGCGATTGGTAAGGGCTACAGCAAAAATTACATCTGTACAATGTATGTGCCTCACTTAATTTGCATTCTGCCCCAAATGGCTGCCCATGTGTGATGGACTGCATAGTAGGGTGACATTGTCCTGGTAATGGGGATGCAGCTTCCCTCTCACATCAACACCATCTCCTTGCAAACAATCCTTCATTTTTCTATCAAGGAGCAGGAAAAATAACTGGAAAGGAGGGGGCAACTTTCTTCTCCAATCTGCTAGTTAGTTAACGTGTAACACCCAGACATCTCCCAAAAAAGAGGCACTCAGACCCACTGCTTGACATGAAAGATAGGGCAGCTTCTCACAAGTGGCTCTGTTCACAAGAAGCTGCCCCAAAGCACTGTTTCTCATTGAAGAGGATTTGTTTTCTACAAGGTCTCTCAAGCTATTGCAAGGAGTGCTATGGAAAATTCAAATCCTGATACCAAGTACATTACTGATGACCCAGTACAGGCCACATAGGGCCGTCTGTCCTGGCAAAATCACATTCTCTCCCTCTATCCCTGCCCAGGAAGAAGGCAGTTTGGGAGGCTTTCGAGAGCTTCTTTCCAAAGAAAAGGAAGGTATTATAATATTAGAACTGCAAAACTAGAAGGGACCCCGTGGATCATGAAGTTCAGTTCCTAAGGAAGGTATTATAATATTAGAACTGCAAACTAGAAGAGACCCCGTTCAGTCCCTATCAGGAAAGCACAGTGGAGAATTGAACTCCCATCTTCTGGCTCTGCTAGATACCCAAACTACTGAGCTATCCTTAAGTTCCCAGGTGAGGAATCAAAGCCTTGATCATCTCCTGCTTTTTCATCATCCTTGAGGAACAATCCACCTTCCTACACTTACATGTTGGCTTGAGTATTCCAGATGTTCAATTGTGATTAAGTTGAGATTTGAGCAGCAGTGGCTAGTGGAAAGTATTTTTATGGTTCATGCTGCACTAGTGGCAGGTAAAGCATTTAAGATTTGGTTTGTTCTCATTCATTTATTCATTTTGTTTTGTTTCTGTTTATATTTTATTTTATTTATATCCCCCCTTTCTTCTTTGCAGGGCCTAAGACAGTTTATAACATGGGTTTCAAAACAGATACAGCTAAAAACACTATCCTACCTACTCATCCCACACATTAAATGATTAGTATTTCAAAGTATGTCAAACATTATTAAGAAAGTTGCCCCTTCAAAGCAAACACAGAATTAGCACACTTTAAAAGGCATTTAAGAACACAACACAAAAAGTGCACCTCCCATTAAAAAGAAGACTTATTCTCTTATTGGCGCACAGGTCGGACACAAAAAGTAGCCCCAGTGGATACAAGAGCTGGTTTGTATACTGAGCACCTTTGGGGCATCTGTATGACAAAAGGAACATTTCTCCTGCCCCCTCATCATTGGCCCGTATGAAGGGATATGGAATAGCAGCTAGAGCAGGGGTCTCAAACTCAATTTACTTGGGGGCCGCTGAAGGCAGAATCTGGGTGAGGCTGGGCCGCATCAGATTTTACGCCAAGCCGAGCAAGAGCCCGAGGAAGCCACCCAGGAGTTTCCTTAGCCCAGCTGGGGCTCCGAGGAGGAGGAGGGGTGTGCGAGCCCTCGTCACCAGCCACAACCCCCTCCGGCTCCTTCTTCACTACCACCACCACCAGCAGCAGCAGCAGGACAAAGAAGCGGAGAAGGGATGGAGTGCCGATGACCGTCTAGTGGGGTGGAGAGGAGGGCACGACGTAACATTTTTTAAAAAACCCTCACAGAATTCTCCTTGCCAAAGGAGAAAAGCCCCCACCGGTACCCACAAAATTAAACAGAACGGGGCCCCCACAGGTGCACATGCGCATGCACACACACAAACACATGGAGGTCTGGCAACCTTCCTGAGGGCCCCCCCCTCAGGTCTGGCAACCTTCCTGAGGGCCCCCCCTCAAAAAGGCATACTCAGCCGCAGCAGCTACCCCCACCAGGACAAAGGAGCAAACTTTGCGAGGAGAGCCCAGGCAGCCTCGAGAGCCGAAGCAGCTGAAGCAGGACGAAGAGGAGGAGGAGGAGGAGGAGGAAGCACCGCCGGGCGCTGAGGTGGCCACTGGCCGGGCTGGTGCTGGGGGTGCCAAGAGAGAAAGAGAGCCAGAGAGCAGCTTTTCTGGAAGAGGCGGCAGCTGCTGTTGGCGCCTTGGAGGCGCTCTTTGAGGATGGGCCGGGAGTGAGCTCTGCTCTCAGGCATTGCTCGGTGGTGGCTCGGGCACTCGGGGGAAAGGGACGAGCAGTGTGCCTCACTCGCCAGCTCTCCCCCAAGACAGCGCCTCTTGCACGCTCCATCCGGAACTGCAGCCTGCCAGCTGGCAGACAGATGGGCTCACTGGCAGGCTGCAGTTCCAGATGGGGGTGCAAGTGGCGCTCTCTTGGGGCAGAGCTGGCGCGCGAGGTGAGGCTTTTTTTTGGACTCTTGACAGCAGAGGGTGCATGGGCGCTTCAGGGGGGCAGGCAGGTCGGGGGCCACAAACTATCATCTGCAAATGGCCCCCAGGGCTGCATGTTTGAGACCCCTGAGCTAGAGGTTGTGTCTAGAGGTTGCATAGTCCATTAGGGCAGATGAGGCAATGCCTCCACCAGGCTTGGGCTGCTCCCAGCTACCTTTATCTTATAACCAGTCTATGAATTGGCACATGGTCCATCACAGGAAGATCACACATTTGTGTGAAAACCTACTGAGCCAACGTACAGTAAAAGATTCTTCTTCAGTTCAATTTGTTACTAAGTGTTAGGGAACTGCCGTGCAAGGGGCAGGATGGGAAGAAAATGTGTTCTACCTACTCTTGATGTTTGATCATCTACTATTGATCATCATGGCCTACCAGTCCTGTTGGGTAGCACGGAACACGGGCTATATTGCCACGTGACTGTCACAACCCTGTCAGTGCCCCAAGTTTGTGTGCTAGCTTGGACAAGTATCAGCCAGTCAACAGCCTCACATGATCCTTGACATCAATGTTCTGTCATTGTTGACAACCCACAGCGGGGTCAGCCAACCAGCTTTCTCCTGAGGAACAGGAGCCCACATTAAATCCAGTTAGCCATGGATGGAGGTGTCCCTCACTGCAGTGTTTTTTGACAAATTATATAGTGTTGTGCCCTGTCTGAATCCACTTCTTGCCTCCTGTCTTCATTCTCAGGGTGGAGGCTAGTTGCAATTGGTAGCAATATAGACAAAAAATTATAACATACCTCTCCATTAGAAAAACAGTATAAAAGTGCTACCAGAAAGCCCTGGAAGAGAAACAGAGAGAGATGGTAAATTAGATTGGAGTGGAATTTGCCAAAGTACTATTCAGTTCTGCGTTTATGCAATCATAGAATATTGTTCCCCAAAACACCTGAAACCTGAGCCATCATGCAGCTAAATTGAACATTAGCACAACTAACTTCCTTGTGCTCAAGAATCATCTCTGTCTCTGGGTAATCATGTGGCAAGGCATCAGACTTGCATCCATACCCGGTAATCTGCTTTATTTTGCTTCAAACGATTTTGCTTGCGGAAGTGTCTGGCTTGCAATTTGAAACCACTAAAATCAGTCCAGTGAAATATATCACTTTTACCTAATCTCTGCTTTTCACATTAGAGTCTGCAGGAAATATTGTAGCCTGACATTTAAGGGCAAAATTATATTCAAGCCTGTGAAGTTAACTCTTCCCACGATAAAAATGGGAAATCATGAAAGTGCCATATAAAACTTATCTGGTATCAGCCTTAGCTGGCTTCCCAAAAGATCAAGAGATCATCATACCTCCTCATTATTACTGTCCTTACAGGTTAGAATACAAATGGCAGAAATACCATCAATATTGAACTGACATGAACCTGAATTTTTTCCACATGGTTTCTGAATGCTGGTAGGAATGTGAGAATACATTGATGACTGTGTGAAGGGGGATCGTCTCAGGTGCCTCTGGTAGGACACCTACCATCATCCCACAGTCCCAGGGGAGCCTGGGGGACATTGAGCCCCCCCCTCAGCCCCTTTCAGGCAGAGAGGAGCTGCCATAGCTAGAGGAAGGGAAGCTGCCAGATACAGGATAGCTGGAGGGCAAGTTATGGTGGGAACGAAAGGGCTTGGGCTGGAGAACGTGGGGGGGGGGCTTCAGTGGAGGAAGAGGAGGAGATGTGGGGAATAGTGGAGGAGTGGGATCCCATTTTCTGTGCCACCACAGAGTGAGATAGAGGATCCCTGGAGCTGCCTTCTCCCCACTAGCCCATTTAGCTGTGGGAGGAGCTAAGGTCCTGGAGCCCCTACACTGCAGCCTGCTGCGAGTTTTATGCCTCCACAGCCTCGTTGTCCTCACTTCCCAACCCACCCTGACCCAATTCCAGTGCTGGAGGCACAAGAACCAATGGGAGCAACAGGGGAGGCTCTGGGAGAAGCAACTCAGAGGCCCCTGGTCCCTGTCACCCTACTCTATCAGCCATTGGTAAAAAGATGGTCTAGGATTCATTCTCCCATCACGTTTTTTTAGAGGGTAGGACTTTTAGGGGACCCAGTGAAATCAGCTAGGGCCCGACTCAGACATACAGCACCAGGGGATTAGTGCCAGAAACCAACACCCCTGGGAAGCCACGCAAAGGACAGTGGTCACAAGTTCTATCATTCCAGTAAAAGCTGTTGAAGTTCAAAATCTCAATATGGAACCCATGGATTACTAAAAAGCAAAGCAAAGCGTGCTGCTTATATAGCGCCCCATAGCACTTCAAGCACTCTGTGGGCGGTTTACAATTTAATTATGCAGGCTACACATTGACTGAGGAGTCCTTAGCTTCTGGGCACTCAGGAGGCAAGACTAGCGGCACTCACAAAGTGGAATATTTTTTCTTCTCCAGGAAGATTAAACACTGATATATAAAACACTTGAACAATTGTGCATTGTTTACAATGAAAAATGAAATTGATAACACCATTTTCCTTAGTCCAAATGGGTAATTCTTTGGAACTCAAATTCCCCAGGCAAATGTGAAATTGTATTTTAGCAGTAGATAATCAGCAAGCTATAAAGTCTGCACAGCAATATTGTATTTGTAAATGAGTACAAAAGGCAGAGTAACGAATATCTTGAGAATGGTGATAATTCATCATTTCAATATACTTGTTCTAAAAGCTCTTCCCTGAATCACCATACAGTACATGCAATTCTCCAAATAGCATTATTAATGTCTTGAATTCCCTAGCCCTTGTTTGCAAACTTCTACCAGCTGCCTGTGTTAAAGAAACTCCACTCAGCAATTCTTGAGAACAATATACCCAAGAGTACCCCCTAAGTGACTCACAAATTTACACACCAGTGGCTTACTAAGCTGACTTCACAGATCTAAAAGCTATACCTGGGTGTTCCAGAACTGTCCCAAGAGAATATAGTCTTTCTTTTGAATGCCGAAACTGAGATTACCCTATCTTGAAAGAGGCTGAGGGTGCAAACATTGCAGATAGTCTGACGATACAGCAGACTGCTCTGCAAGTATTACAAATTTTATAGGAGAGAAAAACACCAGAACACACTGCAGGAAATGAGGTGACAAAATACAGAGGTGGCGGTGGCCAGCACTAATGCCCCTCTAAGATTAAAAAAATGTGCTATTTTTCTGGTTGTCTCTGTTTTTTCAAGTCATAATACGTTTTTGGTGCAGAGGAAGGAGCATTCAGCAATGTTGTTCTTTAGATAAATATCAGTAGAAGTCTAAACATGATGTTTTCTATGGGTCCACATTCTACCACCTAATGATGTGAGGAGATACTTATAGCTATGGTAGCGCACCAGTTGTTGGATACCTCCAGAGATGGTGAGTGCTCCAAGACGGGAGGCATTCAAGAGAAACTTAGACAACCACCTGGCAAATATCCTTTGATTTGTATGGCTGCATCAAGCAGGGGGTTGGGCCTGATGGCCTTGTAGGCCCCTTCCAACTTCATGATTCTATGATTCTCCACAGAAGCTGCCTTGGAATTAATGTTGTGATCTTGATTTTCCTTGAACTGTTCAAATTATCTTTAATCCTTAGGATCATTGTTTTCCTCAGTATGTTGCTTTTATTTCTACTTAATGCTTCCTGAGCTGGTCACCCAACCGTAATAAATAGATTCATTCATACATAATGCTGCCCTGTGTCGGTTTTATGTTGCTTTCTGTTTTGGCTTTGAATATTACACAAACTGATTTTTGTTGATTTTGTTTTGTTGTTGTTGTTAATTGCAAAGCTTTGTGAACCGCCCAGAGGATTTGTTTATTTAGATGGTTGTTGTTTTTTTTGGTAAATAAATACCTGAGTGTGTCAAATGGTTATTCTGTTTAGTATTTCTATACATGGATCTCCAACTACAGAAAGTGGCTTCAGTGATCTCACTAAAGGACGGCTGCCTTTGAAGTCACTCACTATCAGAGCTCTGTGGAAGCTTCTGCAGTTGGAACTTGGTGAGTCCATAAATACTGAACAGGATAACGACCATTATGTTTCATTTTTCTTGGTCCTGTTACAAAACAACAGCAACATGTTCTTTGCTCTGTTTATCACATCCCTCGGCGATGATGACAATATGTTTTCCTTTCAGATGGATTTTGTGGAACTGATAATGCCATTAATTAATTCCTCTCATCACAGCAGAGAACTTACATGGAAAGAACAGATTATCAGTTGAATGATGGTTTTTATTTGCCTGGAAGAACCTTCGATCTGTTCATCAGTGATGAAGCTAAAGACGACCTCATGAATCCCAAGTAATGGTATTAAAACCAGGGTTGATCTTGCCAGTCTTAAAAGAGAATAATAATAATGGTGGATTACATTTCTGAACTAAAACATATCAGGAAATACAGATGCTTATTTGACTAGTGCTGGAGCTATCAAACCTCATCTATAAATCAAACGTTATAGATATATGAAAACCTATAAAATTTCCCTACATATGTTAGTTTTCGGTATATGTAGGGGGTTTGGAAAGAGGGGAATGTTCCTTCCTGTAAATGTCTCCTGAAGAGACTGAGATTTTTTACCTCAGGCTCCTCCAGATGGACAAACAACATACATCTTGTCCTTTTAACTCCCAGAACTATCTGTTTGTCTGGGTTTTTTTTTTAAATCTTGGAGTCACCAGTAGTTTTCTATGCCAGGAAAAAAAAATCCAGAAACTGTTTTAAGAGCAGAATTTCCTGTATCTTCTCCACCTATCTGCATCCATCATCACAGCACTATGTTTCGTCTTTGATAAGCATGGCTACCTCAAGGAGTGCTAGCCATTGATGGTCACTCCAGTTTGGTTACCTTCAGGAGCACTAGCTGCTCCAAGTTGTTGTTGTTTAACAAGGAAAGCAAGTGTATATAGGAGACTGGAGCTGTGAATGACAATGCTAATGTAATGAAAAACAATATAATGCATTAGCACACTGATTTTACTAATACATTTAATATGGACAATACAGGACACTGGACAATAGAATGGCCAACACAAGACAGCAATGGCAAAATCAGTGACATTTTCACGTCTTCTGCCACCTTTCCACATCTCTCCAGTGGGGCTTTTGGAGGAGGACGCTTTTGGGAGTAGCACAGAGTGGTATAAAGGAGACTGAATTGTAGGAAGGCACGATGGCACTTGAGTGGCATGAGAAAACGAGAACATATGAAGCTCCATTCCAGACACAGGATGACACAAAATGACTGCAAGTTATTGTAAAATGCTGGGTTTCTCTTAAAAGACCAAAATTAAGTTCTGTAAGAATGTAATGCTTACCTCAATTTATAATCGCGAAAGTTCATCTGTTGGGCTTTAAGTTTGGAAAGTAGCAGTTTCAGAATGTTTAGGAAGATGCAGAAGTTAACCTTCAGAAAAATACAAATCTTTTTCAGTGCAATAAACATCCAACAGTTTTACTTATGAACATAAGGTGGTATTTTTCTATTCATTGTATTTAAGCAACTTTTGTTTACACCAGCCATTCTCAACTTTTGGGGGGGGCCACAGCCATGAACACCATATGAAAGAAATGTAGGCTGAATCAGGATTGAATGGGTTGCATAATGCACTGGCCCCAACCTTGGGCCTCCAGATGTTCTTGGACTTCAATTCCCAGAAATCCTGGCCAGCAGAGGTGGTGGTGAAGGCTTCTGGGAGTTGTAGTTCAGTAACATCTGGAGGCCCAAGGTGAGGACCACTGGCATAATGAACCTTATAAGGCTGGTACCCCAGGGTGCCATACAACCCCCACTGAGAATGGCTGGTTTACACTACGGTCACCCTATCCATCAGAAAGTTTTTGATCTGAAAAAGGTCAACTTTAAAAAAAGAGTGTCAGGAAAGGAAGGAAGGCAGTAGTGAATAAAAATGAGCACAGAAAGACATTAGCAGGAGTACCTGCCAGTGAGGCAAAGAGATTGTGTGCAAAGAGATTGCTGTAACACAGCTGTATATTGTGTTACGGCAGTCATTGCCCTATGAATTTATTTGCAGATCTATCTCCTTGATTTGAATGGGCAACAGTGGCAAAAATCCAGTGGTAAGTTACAATTAGAGTAGGGTCAATGAATCAGAGGGGATTTGGTGAATCAACTTTTCTTAATTTCCATTGATTCAATGGACCTACTGTAGTACTGAACTGCCATAGTATAGAAGGCAGTCTTAAAAGCAGCCACACCCACGTAATTATGTAAAATAGGTGTCTTTTCATGGTTGCGAGACTCACTCGTATTCCTGCCCTATCTTCCATTTCTGTGTATTCAGTTTCTATTTCAGATTCTTTAGGGCTGGATGTGCATCTTTGCTTATCTAGACGAAACTGAGACAGGTGGTGGAAAGGGGCAAGGCAGTTTCAGCCTGTTGTAAACTAGGAGACATTTCTTTATTTAAATAATATAAAAGTATATACAGTCAAACTGTAAATCCAGTAATAAAATGATACAATGATCCTTACAGCAATAGAAAATAATATGGGCCCTCGAATGATCCACCAGAAGGCCATGTTCTGATTGGTTGCCCAGCATCTAGAAAGCAAGAAAAATGTTGGTCATAAAATCACCAAAAGAAAACTAGTTTTCGGGAAGACTAGCTAAATATTCCCCTTCATGGATTGCTGCCTTGTCGTGGCGGTAGAAGATAGGAGGGCCTGGCGTGCTCTGGTCCATGGGGTCACGAAGAGTCGGACACGACTAAACGACTGAACAAACAAAGCTAAATATTACCTGAGCATTTGATTGCTATTGAAAGCAACCAGATTCATAAATGCTCTAAACATTATTAAGACACTTTAAAAGGCAATGAGGTAGATTTTGTTGGTGTTATTTCAATCCTGAATGCTGCCTTCAGTAGGTTTGGCTGCAAGAGATCTTTCTGGACTGGGATAGCTGTCAATTGATCCCGCAGTAGCCAATTGTTCCTTCCCTGCCTCTAGTTTTGAAGAGAGCCCCGCCTCTCTGCTTAAGTGTCTTTTTCCTTCCTTTCTAGTCTGCTGGCAGTTAATATGAAGTTAGGATGTGCTGGTTGATAATATGCAGTTGTTAGCAGTTAATGATGTTAAAGCGCAGTCAGAGAATGTAGTCTGCAGGAATCTACTGGAAGCAAACTGTGACTCTGATTAAATTTATTACTGTAAGTAGTCATTTTTGTACAGTATGATTTTTTAAAATATATATTCAGAACTTTTGTTATCTTGAATTTATGTACAGTTATACAGGGCCAGTGCAGTTTTTTGTTGCTGTTGATGTTGTGGTGACCTATGGTTTTAAACAACAACAATAAGCTTGTTCTGTTTTGTTCTGTTTGATATGTTGAATTTTGAGTAACATATTAATAGCAGATTGCTTCACTAATGCAGTTCAATGACTGCTCTGAACTTCAAAGGGATTTGCTTCCAGGTATCAGCACAGCAGTTGTAGGGAATGGTTGTTGTGGGTTTTTTGGGCTCTTTGGCTGTGTTCTTAAGGTTTTTCTTCCTAACATTTAACCAGTCTCTGTGACCGGCATCTTCAGAGAACAGGAGTCAGAACTCTGTCTGAGCTCTGGTGTAGTTTGTGGGATAGCTGAGTACTAATAGCTGTGGGATCACCTTTCCTTTTCAATTATAGGGAGTATTTAGCCCTTGAGATGTCTCCAGGCTGAATTTCCTAATAGCCAGAGTAGTCAATGGGGATGGATTGTGAGAGATGCTACCTGACAACATCTAGAGGTCCACAAGTTCTCACCCCTAGTGCATAGGAATGTGCAGTAGACTCCTTTGATCGTGACTGTGGTTTAATAGTGGGAGCAAAAGAGCTCTAGTAGGAGGTTTAGTTTTGGGGTTCTGTTCTGTTCTTCCTTTCAGATGTTCCAGATAGATGTTGTTGGGTTCTAAGTAGCCTTCCGTCCAAACTGCTAATCAGACCCTCCACTGCTAAAGCCCAGTAATGTCAACATACTGGCTGCTTCCACAAATCATTCACAAACCCTACCCCTACCACATTCTGTTTCATTAGAAATGGACAAAAATCTGAAATTTGAAAGAGGGAAGTGGCATAGTAGTATTTACTGAAAGGATGTATTCCATAGATTATTGCTTCCATGGCTAGTTTGCCACAGAAAAAATTTGTTGTCCATATTCAACCATCAAGTTTAATGAAAACCTAGCAATCCCAGCTTCTTCTTGCTTGAAGAAATGCAATAAGAGAAACAAACCAAGTTAGAGGGCCATTTAGAGATGGTAGCTTACCCTTCATGCTCCAGGTGGTATCTTATTATTCCCCAAGAAGCTACAAATAGCAGCGGAACACCTGAAAGGAAAAATAAAGGTGAGGATTGTGACGTAGTAATGCTCAATATGTAGAAGTGTTGATGTATCTAGAATGATGGATTAGTGATCCTGGCCACAACTGTCATCACTTACAACCAACAACTACACTGTCTGGGGCAGAAGGCCATAGAAACAAGCAGCGCCTTGTGGTGTCCCACTCCTTGGTTATACAAATAAGAGAAAGGCCCTACCATGATCCTAACAACTTCTGTTTACACATGGTTTCTTTGTTGCATTTGGATTCCTCCCAGTTTTACTGATTTTAAAAATCTCCTAGTACTCAGATATCTTCAGTTGCTCTTCTGCACACACTTGCGACTCTCTTTAATCTCTGAAAGTCTCCAAGCAAGTAACACAGTTATACATTTTGTGAAGGGTGTACAGACAGTAGCAGAAGCCCATTTGGGATGTTTCCTCAAATGATGGTGAAGTCTTCCCAAAAGGAAAAGTACTTATGATAAATAACATGAATGGCTGCTTGTGCTTCAGAATTTGGGGGTTTGCTGCCTACCCTGCTCTCGTCACAAGCGACTAGAGAATAGAGGCCTGGTTCAAGCCCATCTCTTGATTTCAGTAAGTACAAGGCATTCTTAGTATTAATACATTTGTTGTATTAATTCCCAGCCTCAGGCTCCACAGGCAGATATCTAACTCACTTAAGTATTTAGCCAGCTAGAATAATTATGTGCCATCACATCAATTCTGACTTACAGTGTCTTTTTCAAGGATTTTGAGATACAGAACACAGTACAGGAGCCCATCTCTTGATTTCAGTAAGTACAAGGCATTCTTAGTATTAATACATTTGTTGTATTAATTCCCAGCCTCAGGCTCCACAGGCAGATATCTAACTCACTTAAGTATTTAGCCAGCTAGAATAATTATGTGCCATCACATCAATTCTGACTTACAGTGTCTTTTTCAAGGATTTTGAGATACAGAACACAGTACAGGAAAGTAGTTCACCATTCCCTTCTTCTGGGGGTGCCCTGAGACTGTGCTGCTTGCCGAAATGCGAATTCATTGTTATATGGTGCGCTCGGTAAGCAGGGCACCACTGTACAGGAAAGTTGTTCACCATTCCCTTCTTCTGGGGGTGCCCTGAGACTGTGCTGCTTGCCGAAGGCTACATGGGATGGCTTTACAGCCTGATCCCTAAGTCCATGAACTATGTACGACAAGTCAGGTATTCCCTTCTTCTGGGGGTGCCCTGAGACTGTGCTGCTTGCCCAAGGCTACATGGGATGGCTTTACAGTCTGATCCCTAAGAAGCCTTGAAAAATAATCCATATTTACCCCATCCAATGAAGAGGTATCTCAGCAGTTGATGTTTCTCAGACAGCACCGTGGTCAATAACTTGTGCAAGTAAATTCCTTCCACCAAAAGCCAGAAATAGTTTGCCTCCACAGCATAATGCATGAAAAGTGGAGCCAGCCTGCATAATGTTAACATCTACAGAAATTAAATAACGGAAAGATAAATCAGTAACAACATTTAAGTGTACTATTAGTTGGCTAACAACAGTGTTGGCATCAGTTTATTATGGCATTCAAGACTGGCCTTTGAACTTCTGCTGCTCCAATTCTTTTTCAATATGTTGTTGATACAATGAACAGCAGAAGAGAATAGCAACCAGCAAAGGCACAGAAAGAGGTAATAAGATAAAAAACAAATCCAAGCATAAAATGTTTTCATATAATATATCACAGTCCAGCACTTGGATGGGATGAAATCACTCATTTTAGATGGATGCAACATGGACTGAGGGTTGAAACTGATATCAATGTCAAGGAGGAGTTAAAACAGGCAATTCTGTTCAGTAATGGAATCTAAGTGATAGCTACTCAAAATTGATTGAAGTGTCCCTCCTGATATGAATGCAGTGAGTTACCCCATCTATGTGACTGAAAGTGTTGTATCACATTAATTGTTTCAAGTTTGAGTTTGTTTTACCTTACCTTATTAAATTTTAATGCACATTTGCCAGTTCTTGGTTTTTTTGTTCTGATTTGTTTTTACTTACTATTTGTCTTGTTTTCAGTGCTCTATCTATCTATCTATCTATCTATCTATCTATCTATCTATCTATCTATCTATCTATCTATCTATCTATCTATCTATCTATCTATCTATCTATCTATCTATCTATCTATCTATCTATCTATCTATCGTTACATTTATACACCACTTTTTCCCAGCAAGCTCAAGGAAGGCATTGTAAACTAAGACATGGATTTTCTCTTCTCCAACTTATGCTCACAACAGCCTTAGGAAATAGGTCAGACTGAGTGAGATTGGCTCATTCAGGGTCACCTAGCTCAGAGAAAACTTGCATCTGGATCTCTTGTTCCAGTCCAATAGTCTAGCCGCACTAGGTTTCTTGTTAGTTGGCTTTTATCTTTGATTAGTAAATAATTTTACATTTAAAAAATATAGTCTGGGCAATCTATAAATACACAGTTATGAATGTGTTGAGGTGGTATGGTCCATGTTGCCTCTATCTAACATGGGCAATCCATTTCACCCATGTGTGTGAGTGTGATATATTATAAACAAGTCTCTCAACTTGATACTATTAGTACCTCTGGACGCAAGGGAGAAATCCATCCATTTAAATCACTTGGCTTTTCAGAGTCCAAATAAATAATGTAAGTTACTCTGTCTTTTAGGAGCACTCCTATGGCTCGCAGAATGAATGAAACAAATAGGTTCATATGGATATAGTTTCTTGTGCAGTGCAGTTTCCTGTGAAAAAAGAGACACACACTTGTTTAAGAATTCTGTGAAGCTAGCATTGTTTCTGGGCTACATCACAACATTTTCTTGTTCTGCAAGAAACAAGTGTCATAGAGTAGTAATTCTTCCTTAGTGGCAGTGGTAGCTTAGGCTTGGACAGTTGTTGCTGTGGCCTTCTATCTTGCAAGAAGAGTGGGCCAAAAAGGCTTTTGATAAAATGGAATAGGATTATCTTTAGCAATCATTAATAATATTTTGATTAAATGCCATATTTATAGAATGGGTTAAAAGGATGTAATCTAATTCTAATAATAATTCTGTAGTATCTACCTCTATTAAAGACAATAAGAAACATTCCAAATTAACAGAGTTTTTTTGACATTGATGTCATTATCATCACTATTACTTGCTATGCCAGTAATGTCTTTGTAGAAATTAAGCTACATGGATCCTAAAATGCAAAGCTTATGGTTGTTCCACATTAAAATATATTTTTATGGAGATGAGGTAGTTCTGATTTTGAGGGACCTCCTCCCCCCAAATATTTTGGAAATGTTTTGAATATATTATCATAATCTGATCAGGTTTTAGGTTATAAAAGTGCTACAGAATCAGAATCGATGGGGTTTAACATAAATCATTGATAATGATGAAATTGTCAGGGCATATGCAATTTTACTCTGAAAATTCAACATTTCAATCTATAGGTGCACTGTATGGTAGATCAATTGCTTAGAAAATATGATTCTTTAGGAAATTGTATAGAATTTGAGAAGTTACTCCATGCATGCTGCCTCCATGCCATGATGTGGCCTAAAATCAGACTGGAATGGATCAAGGGATGGAATGGATTGGATCCAGGAGTGCCTGCAACTGATCAGCTACTGCCCTCTTCACTAGCTTGCTCAGGCATGTTGGTGACAGGCCTATAGTTATTACAGTTGTCCGCCACAGTCTCTTCTATCTCTGACATAGTGACAGTACATTGCTTCTTTTTCAGTGTAATGCTGTTTATAGTCTTCCTGTTAAACATAGAAAAATGAGTAGATTTCTATGCAGGAGACACTTTTTATTTTCTGGGAATAACAACAGAAGATCCAGGGCTTCTGAAAAATCAAGGTCTTGTTTAAGGATTGATTCTGTTCTAGATAAGATTTCTGCCCCAAACTCTTTTTCCCATTCTTAACTGTAGTCTGGCCTTTTTTAAAAGGATTTTTTAACTCTGCAAGGTACTTTACAATAGTTGCTACATTCAAATAATAGGTAGTTTATTGAAAAGTTGATCAATGGGCCACGGACCCAATCCTATCAGGTTTTACAATCCTCAATGTAGTTGGAGTAGTTCAGATTGCAAGATCTCATAGATGTTGCCTCATCAGAGCAACTATCAGTGCTAATGAGAATATCTCATGATTAATCTGAGGAGACAGAAGCTTTGTTCATATTTACATGATGATACCAATCATGATAGTACTTTAGATTTCACTGCAAATACCAGATGCAAATTCTGACCATAGGAAAATGTACTGCCAAATAATTTGGAACCCCCATATATTATTGAAAGACAAATTATACTGACCTCAGCAGTAGCATGATGAACAATGCTAAGACAAGGGAAGCAAAAGAAATAGAATATCCCACAGTGTAAAAGTCCTTAAAGATGACAAACAGTTTGCTTTCGTTAACCTAGCAAAAAAACAGATGAGAAAAAAGGAGTCAAAGTTGGAAACGGACATTGCCTGAAGAGAAGGTACTCTAGTGTAGCAGGTCCTCTTGAAACACTAAAGGCATGTGTATACTCAAAGAAATACTCCAACATTTGTGTTTGATTTTTGAGGAACCACATCTTTATGTCACACATTTATGGACATCTTATCAATAGTTATTTTTACCAATGGCACTTCAATAGAACCAAAATGGTCAGAGAAATCTTTGATGACCTGATGCTGCAGATAATCATCAGGAAGCCTCCATATCCCTTCCTTAAGCTTTGTTTTACCCAGTCAGACAGTGTTAGAAACAAAATCCTAGATTTGATAGCATCATCCTCTCAGTAACTGTCCTCAAGCTTTCCGTAATCTTCCCAAGTCAGGAGGACCTCAAAAGCAGCAACCCTTAAGACATACGGCACTACCACAGAGGGGAGATTCTTTCCATCCCCATGCATAAATGCAAGTGTGTG